TGTTCATTTCTTCAATGAGGTTACTAACTCCTGTGAAAAGTGTGCTGTAGGAAAGAGAGAGTGACTGGCTGAGTGAGAAAGATGTAAACAGACAGAAAAAGAAATAAAAAGTATGGGAGGGTGAATCACACATATCTCAAAATAAAAAACAGGAAAAAAAGAAATATTAGTTACACTTTATTTTAAGGTCTCCTTGTTAATGTGGAATTAGACCAATAAGTACTGAGTGATATTAATTAACATCACTTTGTTTATGATTGGTTTAGGATTAGGGTTTGGTTTAGGGTTGGTTGCTTATAATTGCTATACATAATAACAGTAAATAATGTGTAATTACATGTAACATACAACAAGGGTACTGTAAAATATGAAAAATATTTTGCTTAAAGAAAATGACCATTTTAGGAACATTAAGATTTGTATTTTTTATTCTTTTTTAATTTAAATATTATTTAATTTTAACATTTAATTTTATTATTTTTATTTTCATTAGTAACATTTTTTTTATTTGTTTTATCAAGTTTTAATTATGTTTAGTAAAACGCTTTTGTACCATTATTTTAGATGGTGATTCTTACATTGGAGTTTTGTTTTTTTAAGCATTATATATTTATTTTTTTTATTCATTTTTTGCTTCTTTTAACTTTTTTTTTAAATCTAAACATGTATTTGCCTTACAGTAATTAAAAGGACTTTTTAAATTAATTAATATGACCTGGACATGTTCAGGTTTCATGACATGAAAATTATTGTTTTTTTTATTTTGAGGGGACAGCAGATTTACACTGTTATACAAGCTGTACACTCACTACTTTACATTGTAGCAAAGTGTCATTTCTTCAGTGTTGTCACATGAAAAGGTATAAAATATTTACAAAAATGTGAGGGGTGTACTCACTTCTGTGAGATACTGTGTATATATATGACTTTTTTTGTTCTGTGTAAGACAAAAGGAGATGTTTCACAGCAATATATTCCAATCAATCTGCAAAAGGACAAAAGAACAAAACAAAAAAGCGCCATAAAATTGTCCATATGCTTGTGTGTTATATTTCAAGTGTTCTGAAACTTGGAATATAGGAATGGAATTTAATATTGATATGCACAAGTCATGCAGACTACTTTTATAGTTGACTCTTTGTCATTTTTATTTGACATCCCCTTTTTACCGTCTACTTTCATCATATGACAAAGAACAGTGTAAACATTCAGCCTAACATCTCTTTTTGTGTTACCTGGCACAAAGTAAGTCACAAGACTTTAACAAAGTTTGCTGACAATTTTAATTTAGGGTGATTCCTTAAACTGGGAGAGGAAAACACTGCAAAAAGCCAGACAGACAGTGAAATATTGAGATAGATCAAGTGAAATTTATGTTAAGAGAAATAAAAGGAAAAGTAGACAGATTAAGAGGGTGTTAAGACTGAGAGTACAGGGCAGAGTGTATAAATAAATCTCTGCACAGCACAAATGTGTATGTGCGTGCTCCCACCGTTTGTTATGTAAGTGATGGCAGGTGGGTGGGACTGTAAGAATATGCTTGTTTTAAAGTGATAAACACGGCCACCATGCCCACATGTGTGCGACACATGGGGCCCGCAAACATGCAGGGGCCGCCCCATTTAACTGGGTCACACGGGCACAATTGTACCATCTGTCAGAGACAGTTTAGCCTTTTTCTTGTATCAAAGACCCACAGGCCTCCAGCACACTCAAAATAACACACACTCAAGCAGACACCATATTTCCTTGGAATAAAAACTAGACTGGAAGTTATAGATTTGGAAACAAGCACATGATACTCATGTTTATTTCACTACAGATGGTGTTTTGAGCTCTTACCTGATACAGGAACAGGAAGACAACCACAAACACAGCCCAGCAGGTCTAGAAACGCACCACGTGTCACCAGACATGGATTCTGCCTGTCAGTTTGTGTGTGAGAGAGACAGATATCACGCTAATGGTTATTATATACGGCATAGTATTTTCATTGCATTTACTCAATAAGTTGTACAGAAACTACACACTTTATTTTTCAAGTATGGTGAACACGGGGTGATTTGTTCAAAAAAACAAAAACAAAAAAAAAAACAGAAAAACAATATTTGATGGAAATGTTAATGTAAAAAAAAAAAAAGGCAATAGAGAAATAGTGTAATTTATATACAATTATTAGAGATGCACCAATGTATCGGGCAATAATCGGCTATCAAAGTTTATGCAATAATAATGCATTAATGCAATCTCACTTAAAAACAAAAATTTAATGCAGGTTCTATTTGATCCTATGAATCACCCGTAGTTAAAGGCCGGGTTGCCAGGTCCATTTTTTTTTATCTCTTTCAAACAATATTTGTAGCATGCCTATTATCCAATAACTGTAAAGAGCTTTGTGCTTTTTTACTTCTGATTAGTAACAAAGTCTCAGCTCTCAAATGCTGTCCATTTTATCACCAAATTCAAACAATAAATGTAATTTTGATGCTTTTAAATGTAATGCGTGACAGATCGCTGTACCCTAGTTCAAGCGGCAAAGCAGCATGCAAATAATTTCTTACACTTTAATACAAGTTATAGCATGAAATAAACATGACTGAACATCAGAAGATATGCAGAAAGATACAGTGCAACTTACTGAAATGTATCATGTTTCATGTAATTGCTCAGTGTTTCAATCATGGAAAGATGCTGATAATACAGTTTGTCATCAATATGTCACTTAATGTTGTGTTTACCTCAGGAAAGTATCGTATCGGATGAGAAATTCAGTATTAGTGCATCCCTAAAAATTTGCATCAAAAATACATAAAAAATAATTGTGTACACTGAATAACTAAATTAATTTTAGCAGTTAACTATACTTGACTCTAATTTATTTTATTAATATATTAGAGTCATTTATAAATATTTTTTTATTAATATTTATATATAACTTATTTATATGTCAAAACATTTTGGGGGGGGGGGGG